CTGATGGGACGAGAGTCATTCTGGTATGAAAGATCATCCATTGGGTATGGCGCATAGCCGTAGTATTCTGGCTGACGATCGTACTCATAGCCTCTCTGTTGTGGCGAGCTGTGCCAAGTATGTGGTGCTGCTTGATATCGAGCTGTGCATCTTAGTCAGTTTTGTCAGCATCAATGTAGATACGCTACTCACGATAGTAGTTGTTGGTGCTGTAGAAGTGATCCTGCTGTGTCATTGGATCGGGAGGTGCCCTCATCGCTGCAGCTTCGTAGCCGTAAGCTTGCGAATATCCTCCATGGCATGCTGGATCGGCTGGGATTTGGACAGCGCCAGATCTGAACGACGTGGACTGCTGGAGGATGCGATCAATGTGCATTTGGGCTAGGTCAATACGCTCGTCGTGGCGAAGGTAGCCGTCGCTATGCTTCTGATCCGCGATAGAATCGATTTGCTTCTGAACCAGGCGTTCATTCTCTTCCTTGAGCTTGTTGATCTGACTCTTGAGATTTATGTTCTCTTGCTGAGACTGTTGATACTTCCGCTCGATCTTGGTGTGGAACTCCTCGAGCTGACCCGTGATCCAGTCTTCAGATCGGCCAGCGGCTTGCTTGGCTAGCGTTCTGAGTTCGCCGTTGAGGGAGCGCAGCTTTTGTTGCTGATTGTCCATGATATGCGACTGCACCTGCTCGTGCGAGGAGCTCTGCAGAGTCAAGAGATGTTGAAAAGCAGCGGGAATAAAGTGAAGCTTCGGCCTTGTGTAACAACGGTGGTACAGCGGAGGTCTTTCCAGACGTTTGAAAGCTTTCAAGCCAAGCGTCATCCAAAAATTGATTGCTATCAATACACGCGACCTTTGATTCCTTAGAAACTCCTTCAACACCGGCTCGGCCACCATTTGAAAGGTGATCTTGCTTCGTGGCCAACTTCCAGCACAATCCGCTTGAAAAGAGGATTCTCGATCATGGCGTCCTCGACTCCAATGGTCCTCGCGGCACCATCACTTTCCATACCTGAAAATCCACCATGCCCAGCAGCAGTCCATCTACGCATCCAACGCAGTCGTCATAGTTTGCTGATGGAAACAAAGCATCCACCTGCCACTCTCCATCCTCCACACACTAGAACACAGCGCATCGAATCCAACATCCTGATCGTCTCTAGAATCCGAAGGCTTTCTGTTCGCAATAGCTTGATAGCTGATCACCGCCCCATCCTGACCAACTGGAGTGACATCGACTTTCCGCAAATTGAATGTCTTCCAAGGTACAAATGCAGGCGAATGTAGTATGTCTTGTACCGAAGGCTCTGTCTTTGGTGTGACTTTTAGACCCATGGGAAATTGCATTATGCAGTCTTTTGAGAGATATGGCACAAGGTCTGCTCCGGAGCGTTGAAGTGCTCGCCATGTGCTTTCTTCGAGGTCGAGAATTGTGTCGTGTAGGGATTCAGATGCCATTTCTGCGATATGTTGGAGTGTTTTTCTGATTTTGTTGCGGTCTTAAGAAGAAGACAAGATGGCAATAGTGATGTGAAAGAAGAAGTTGGAACAAGGCAGCCAAGCAGCGTGAGGTGGGATGCATTTCTGGCAGGGAACCCACGAAAGGCAGGTGGAGCCGGAGCTATGTATGGCTGTTGGGCAGCAATATATCAATATCTTCAAACACAACAACTTGTCAACAAGATAGGAGAAAGCGTATGATGTCGCTCGATCCGAGTTATCAGATGATAATCAGACACATGACCGAGCAGCTGAAGAGGACATTACATTAAGAAGAATTACGATGACGATACATCGACCACCGCAAACAATTCTGGACAAGGCCAAGCAACATCCACTAAGCCTAGGAGACTTGCAACGAGTTGCTCTTCTGACAAGGCTTCCCAGCCCATAGGCGCTAGCGATACTCGCGTCACACTTCGCGGTGAAAGCCTCACATACGTGAAGAGACCTCAGTAGTCGTGAGTTCAGATCAATTTTTGACGTCAAATTCCACTATAACTTCGCTGCGGCCAATTCCATCTCAGCTTTTTTGGGACCAGTGAAGCCAAAGAGATATCCAGCTACTTTTCGCATCTGAATCTCCTCACTGCCTTCAGTGATCCTGTATCGACGATGATGTCTCTGTACTGATGTTAGTCTGGGTCGATCTCGCATTTCTTAAGCACAACTTACCCAAATGTGCTCGAATGGGTAGTGCCGACTGTAGCCCCATCCACCAAAGACTTGGATCGCCCGGTCTGCTGCTTGCGTACACAATCTATTCGCCCAATAGTTGCACATGCTGACCTTGTCGCTGACCTTCTGCTCTACTTCTCTATGTGGCATCGTGTCCATGTCGACAGCAGTCTTTCGAATGAGTAGCCGCAGCATTTCACACTGTGTTGCCAGCTCTACAAGCGGAAATTGAATAGCCTGATTCGAAGCCAGAGGTTTACCAAATGGTCGACGCTTGCGGGCATATTCCACACATTGATTGACGCAATATACTGCAGCGCCTAGCGAAGAGGCAGCTTGCCTGATCCTATTCTCGTGCACAAATGCCTGAGCGATGGCCAGACCACCCTCTGGAGGTCCAATGATTGCTTCAGCCGGGACACGAACATTCGTCAAAGAGATCGTCGCGTGATCAGTGGGCATGTTCAGCGTCCATTCGTACGATTCTACCTTCAAACCAGGCGTGTTCCTCGGTACATTGAAGCAGGTGATACCCTTGGCGTCGCCGTCTTTGCCACTCGTGCGAGCGAAGATGAAGCAATTGGTAGCCACGTGCATACCAGTCTGCCACATCTTACCTCCATTGATTATGTAGCTGCCATCGGCTTGCTTCTCCGCTTTAGTCGCCATAAAAGTGGCATCGCTGCCGTGATGTGGTTCTGTCAAGCCAAAAGTGATCCGAACTTTACCAGCAAGTCTGCCACCGATGAGCTCCTTCTTTTGCTGTTCATTGCCAAAGTGTTGGACCATGATCACGTCCGGGAAATTTCCAACGACGGAGTGTTCATTCTGCAGGTCATTGAATAGACCGAGGCCTTTGCTGGCAAGATGTTCCCTTATGACAGCCATCCAGAGGTTTGATCCTCGTCCTGATGCCGTGTTCTGTCCTCCATACTCTTTTGGCAAACTGAATCTGTAGAAACCAGCCTTGTCTGCTCTTCTCCTTGCCTCGACAAGTAATGCTTCCCAGTCTTTGCGAGGCAGGCCACCTTTGTCCCAGTCTGTTCTGGAGTGTTCTCTACGATGATCGAAGAAGCGTTCGTTGTCGTTCTCGGCCTGCAGAGGCTTGATCTCGCGTTCGATGAATTCGTCAATACGCGCAATGTACTCTTGCAGATCCTTGGGCACTTCGAAATTCATTTTGATCTAAAGTGAAGCACACGTAAAAGTAGATCAGTATATTGCTTCGCATACCACAGACTCTAAGTTCATTTTATCTTCATTAATCTCCATGATGATAGACCCGAGGTTTAGTTGATGAGCATCGGTTGCACTTGCGGGGAATGGTTGGAAACGCAGGTTGGGCCGTGCGCAAACTGTATCGACTCGAACCTTGAGAGTCAAATGAACTTCACCTCATCCGATCACACGGTGCATATCCTGACATTCTCTCCGGCTATCGAGCTTGACACTACCACAGCGAACACAATCGCGTCCCGAGTGCTATGGTCATCTCTTCAACCGAGCCTATGGATATGGAAAATTCGCACCTCGCATTGTCTACTGATTCTCGCCGATGCTTGAGAGCCTTGAGCTACATGTTACAATGCTGCTGGAAGTCAAAGCTCATCATCTGGAATATTGGGCCGGCTGCTCTCAATGAGGTCGAGACATGCACACCCTTGGAGCACTGTCCACATCTCGGTGACCCCGATGCCTGTGCCTCAAAATTATCGCTCGCCTGCAAATGCTGCTGATGCCGAGCGCCGATGTTCTGGTCCATGACCACTTCCCATGAGCCTTGAAATGCTAGTCCTCTGCGAGCCTGACCGGCTGATGATCCTGCTCGACTGTCTTCGCCTTCCTCAGTCCTAGTTCCTGCTCTCTTTGCACCTCTCTCGCATATGGGTTCCATCCGCCATGGCCACACACAATACGTCGACCCCCAATCTCGTACCGCGTGGCATACCATTGCTGTAGAGCAGTGAAGATTCTTTCCTCCTCATCGCTGCCCTGTAGGCCGAAGAGATCATAGATGTTGATAAAGAGTACCGGACTATAGTCTGGCCATGTACCAACTGGCGCGCGATAACTAGCTGTGATGGTGTAGTTCTGGCAGAATTGAAGCCATTTGATGAGGTTTACACGCCTTGTCTCGTAAAGGGATGTGAAGACGAAGGATATTCGAAGTTTCTTGGGGCAAGAGAAGGCCTTGCGTGTCTCTTCCGGTAAGCTTAGGATGTATGCCATAAGCTTTTCGAATCTGACGTTGTATATAATGGCGGTAACAGCATTGATTGGCTCTCGAAAGCTCTGGAACTCAAATACCACTGGAAGTGCTGCAGAATTGTCCAGAAGGTCGCGATACTCGAAGTAAAGTTGGCGACAGACCAGCGCGCATCCGGACTTGAAGACGATAAAATGATCTGGAGGACCATTACTCCCGTTATTGAGCAAGTAAGGTTTTGATTCATCTTCGACGACATAACCGAGAATGATATCGCGTAGCTCCCTTGGTAGTCGCAGCAAGGCCGAGATCTGCTGTACCGATTTCGATGTGTCGCTAACGCCCTCGCTCTGTACAGGCTCTACCGGAGTTGCGGTATTTGAGGCTTGACTTCGGTTAATGCTTTGCGTCTTGGCTTTTGCTCTGATGATCACAGTAGGTGTGATCTCGCGATAGCTGCTCTCAGTTTGCGGCGGCGGGTCGAGGCATGACCACTGGCGAAGAATGCGGAGCTTTTCAGTAAGGCGCAGCATGTTCGATATGCAGAAAGCCCAACTTCACGACAGATGCATGTCTTGTTGAGGTAGAGGCCTCAGATCATGCTAGCGAGTTTGTTTATAGGTCATGCGAGGCCGGCGATGTCGAAGTGACGAGAGCAAACCTCACATGTGGCACTTGTATTGGTTTTTAAATCGAGGGCCAACCCTGATTTGCCGCCTACTGAAGCCGCTGAGTACCACAGCAACCACGCACATCCCCTTTGAAGTGAGAGGCTCTCTGTGGTGACCAGGACGCCGGGTCCATGCGTGGTGACACAGAAGCAATCTAATGACTTCAAGATCGTCAAGGGTCCTGCACTAAATAAAATCTGTGAATGCAATGACAGAATCTGTGATAAAGCGGTGTGTACCTAGCAGCTTCTGTTCTTCAGACTCCACTGATAGCTTTCCCAACTCCAAGCCCCAACACTTCCAGCCCCGAGAGCTTTCATGATTTTTCGACCCTCTCGTGTCTGTCCTACCACAGCTTCCATAGATTTCAAGCTTTTCATATCGAAGCTCGTCCACCGCACAACGTATTGAAGCTCGATACCAAAAGTCTCTGCCACTTTCAACCATTCCATGAGTCTCTGGGCTTCAACCGTAGTAATGGTGGAGATGAAGAGATTGACAGCGAGATTCTTGTTACAATTTGCGGACTGAATTTCGTGCTTCTTCAGAGTCCTGACAAAAGCAATCATCTCGGTGAAGTCAAAGTTGTAGATTGGTGCCACGGTCCTGCTTCCGGGAGTAAAAGCGGCTTTTCGGAGCAAGTGGCTGTACTCGGCGTTCATTTGCTTGCAAGTTGATGCTAGACCATTGTTTGATTTGGACACAATACCCGTCCTGCTCCGTGGCTTGACGCGGAAGGGTTGATCATTGACAATGACGATTTCGGAGATTACTGCAGGTACTGAGGCGTCAGTTAGATGTGGCATGATCGACGAGATATCTATGTGGGTCTTACTGTCACGGATCTCTCGAGGTAGGCTGAGAAGTGGTGACTCCATGGCCATAGAGGTGGTCGTGAGGAATGTCTGGTCCGAGGTGTGGGTAACTTTGGGTGTGATGATCGCAAGAGGCTTAACGTGTGCGTTGTCGATATGTCGGTAGTAGCTTTACCGAAGTGTTGATTGTTAGGTACTTCGTGATCTCTCTTCGATCTCGACAGACTCCTCTTGCTTTATACCTTGCACTCTCGATCGAGGCACAGGGTCGTCAAGACGATCAAAAAGCTGCGATGTTACAGCTTCTTTGAAGCTCGTAACTAGCCTGCTACCACAAGATACCCTGTGGCTTTTGGGCATTGCGAGGCGTAACAAGCTGCAGCCAAAGGCTCTCTTTGTCCTCCACATTTTCTGCATTGCACCAGCTCGAAACTGAGCCAACCCACGCTCGAGACAGTCCTCCTTGAACGACAATCGCTGTTGTCAGTCAGACGACAGATCAGTAGCACTTGCCTCCGTCTCTGCTCTGTGATCCGAGCCTATGGAGATGTCGAGAACTCGCATATTCCACAAGCCTTCTAGAAGCCACCTTAAGGCAAGCCTCAGTCTATGCGTGACTTCCTGTTTTGGACTCTGAAGCGAAGAGGCGCACATCTTGCAATGCCTTGCTCAAGGCTCGCACGTGGGCCAGAATGCACAATGTTTGACGCCTTTGCTTTGGTGCTCTGCTCCGAAAAGCGTAACTCCATCGTGGGATTGCACGGAGGCGCTCCGCGAGAAGTGCTATTGGGACGAGCATGACAGTACCTCGTTGCTCGCGTGGTCGCCATCTCGTGGCAGCCAGACGCTCATGTCTCAGAGACACGCGAGCCATGCAATGTGTATCCGAGACCAACAACTTTCCCTGCTTGGGCCTGCCTGGAATGGCCCTAAAATTTCCCACCAGGATCTCCCACGTGGCCGCCAATGGCAGCCTTTGTCGTATTCTCAGGACACTGTATGCCATCGAGATCGAGAGGTCTTTGTGCTCGCGTGGAGTTCGGCGTTGACCGAAGGATACCTTGGGCTCTGAGCAAACTCCATGCACCTGTCCGGCAACGAGACGCTGCACTGGACTCCTGCCCGAAATCATTCGTGGTACACTCTGCTTCACGAAGACGGCTAGTATCACAGTATGTATGCATCGGTGCCAATCGGCGAACATTGCAGATAGGAAAGAAGCCGAGGTCTGGTAAGAAGTCTCGCTCTTACAGAGCGTTAGTCTCTCATTGAGCCTATGTGCAGTCCATCTGTCTCTCGTGGTACTTGCTCCCGAGTTGCTCACTCACATGTATGCTTTTCGTGTGCGAAGACCAAACCAGGTCTTGCTCTAACAGTCCTTGTCGCCGCAAGGCAATCCGATGCGATGCTCTAGTGAATTCGCGTCCATGGTCCCATAAAGGACCTGTTCGTAACGCCTTGCCAAATGATTCAATCGTCAATTCATAAGCTCATCTGGTCGGTCGATATCCGATCTGAGCTCTTGTCTCGCTTCACCATACTGAGCTTGTAGTACCTCTCCTCGCCAGTCGCTGTCAGGCCACCGATGAACCACTTTTCGCCCCCTGTCCTCACTTCTCTGTAGCCCTCAGCACTGCTATCACTGCCTCTACGCGAGCGCCGCACGTCTTGCACTGTAGGATAGCTCGGTGGCTTGTTCTGCGGTCCATGCACGGGCATTCCTGGCGAGGTCGGTGACCTCGGAAGGTGCGTGAGCGGACTCACGTTGTGCTCCAGCGGCGTATAGGAAGACACAAGCTGCCTTTCAGGCTGTGCTGTCGTGGACTGTGCGCCGTACGGACTTGTCTTTGCTGGGTATATTGCTTTGGGACTTGACATGTTACTCTCGGGTGCAGGCGATGCCGACTTGGCTGTCCCTGTCCCTTGCGGCGCTGCAGTCCATATTGAAGCAGAAGCAGCCACCGCAGCCGAGGATGATAGTGAGGTAGAGGGTTTCGGGAGCGGTTGCGAGTGTGCACGGAAAGCAGCGAGGAAGTTCCCTAGGAAAGGCCGTTGCGTCGGCATGGCTGGGCCGACAGCAAGTGGTGTTGTAAGAGTACAGTAGACTACGCAGTCCTGCTGAGTGTGTTATGGCGGCGCGGACCGGCGAGGGTCATTCACGAAAGAGGAGATTATGACTGTCCAGCAGCCTTCGTCAAGTGTGTGGTGGTCAGTGTATTCTTGCAGGCCGTGCAGAATCTTCGCTGCCCTGGTCCAGAGTGTCACCACGGCTCGGGCTTGCTGACCTTGCTCGAATAATGAGCTCCGGAGTGATCGCGGCCTGTGTGAGCCATTATTCTTCCTGCCGCCATCCTACCGACCATCGACCATCGACCATCGACCCCGCTTACCCAGTGGCCACCCTCCATCTGCTCTCTACTCGCCGTAGCTGGGACTGGTGCCGAGCGCGAACGATTGCAGTGATGACGGGCTTGCGGTGCTGCAGCGATCAAGATGCGTCACCTGCATGAAGCTGACGGCCTGCTTACGTCTGTGCTGCATGCATTTATTATGATACTCACGTCTCTCACAGCACATTGGAACACATTGGGTATCGCACGCCGCTCGCTTTCAATTTGATGCTATATCTCATGCTACAACACCACCGCCGCCGACCAGAATTCCTCCACGATCCAAAGACCAACCACCTTCGCCGCCATTTCTAGGGTCGATACGTTGAGCGTGTGGGTGCAGGCTCAAACCCGTCAGATCCTCGCGACTGGTGCCCAGTGGTAAGCTGGCCACTGTAAGTAGACCACCCACTCGAAGATCGATTTTCTGGAGTAGCTCGGAACGTGGACTGGTATTCGCTGTAACCGGCCCGACTCCATACTCTCGCATGCGTAGGAGCGGGAGCGTCTGGATAGCCAATCTCGATCTGGTCATTCCCATCATGATGAGTGTGGGCTTGGGCCTTCGTCTTGCGCTTCTTCTGCCTCAAGCTCCCGCTTTGCAGATGTTGCAACTGACCGCGGAACTTGCGCTTGCGAGAGATTCGCGACTTTACAAAGCCAACGACAAGACATACTAGAAGCATGATCGAGACGACGATCGCTACAGGAGCAACAACAACCTGCCAGAGGTTGTCGCCGCCGCTAGAGTCTCGACGAGCCAGCGTCGACTGTGCCGGAGCTGAGTAATAATTGCTACGGTGGACCGTGCGGAGATGCATGTCTGTTAGCGGTATGGTTTGCTCGGGACCTTCTCGATTGCTCTGTTCTTCTTGAAATTTCGAATCGTTGACTACGCCCTGCGCTGTCAAAGCTATGTTGGAGCAGATATTGATGCGACACGACTTCTCGAAAACAGTGGTTGGACCGCCGTCTACTAATATTCACAAACCCATTGTCTCAGGCAGTCTTTGACAGCGCCAGCCAGTGAATGGAACAAGGCCGGCTGTGAATAGATAGATCAAAGAACATTTGTTTCAGGAGGCACAGCAACAACGAAGGCTTTCAGTGGCATTGTGATCTTGCCTGCTTCACTCGGCCTTGGACAGGGCACCCGATGTGATTCCATAGTCTCGTGCCAAGGGATTTGTCTCTGTCGACATATCGTAAACTCATTCATTCGTCGATCGTATTATTATTGCTTCCTTCATGTGATAAGATCCTATCGTGTGAATGTACGCGCTCCGCTGCATCTCACGTGCTAGCGAGAGTTGCAGCAGGGGTTAAAGGTAGCTTTCTCATTAGTGCGGGGCGGCGAATGGCCAACATTCGCGTGTCACTAAATCTCGTCTGCATTGACTTGTTTTCTGCCACACGACAACATCCAGGATCTGGGCGCCACGAGTGCATCTTGTGTTTTTCTTATTGTTTTTGGTTGATTGGCGATTGTACATATACCACATACCCGCACATATCGACTCTTGCACGACCTCGACACGCACGGCACGAGCTGCAGGAACTGCCGCGACGGAGGGCTTAATGCAGGGCCGTTAACGCCAGGTCCTCTAATAATCTGGTCCACCGTGTGCTCTCTGGTTGGGTATCACCGCGCACTCAGAACCGCCGGGCCCGGTAGCACACGCTCGGACGCCATACGATCCGCAGACAAGGTGAGACAGTGAGACAGTAGCCAAAGCACGTGTGGCGCGTGGTTCGCACAATTCCAAACCGCGACAGAAGTCAGATCAAACTCTCTGCTCTCTGCCGGGGCGACGACGAGGAGGAGGAGACATGAGTAGCTGCGCTTGTGCTGGCGCTGGTAGTACAAAGCGTCGGCAACAGGATGTGCTGACCGCTCTGCAGAACCATCGCCCTTCGCATCTGTTTACACTGATGGAAGAGTCTCCAGCCCCACCGGTTCCTCCCAAGGACCCTGAGTACCAGTACCAGAACCAGAACCACTTCAGCAGCAGTATGGATATCGATCGTCCGCCGACCGCCCGCTCTTCTGCTCCTGCAAGCGGCTCGAAGAGGAAGCGAGAGTCGCACCATAGCAGCGCCCGACTCGACGTGACCGACGCTGACGACGAGGGTCACACTCCATCCAAACGTTCTCGCTCCAATGTTCGTAGCGATGGCGACTATGACCCATCAGACGAGACTCCTGCACAGCAGCGCAACCTTCGTAGAAAGAATGGTATCCGCAACCTGTCGAACCTCAATCTTCGCCATGCCGCCTCCACTCAGACACCGCCCCGTCCGCAATCTTCGCCTCTTCGCGAATCCAAGTTTCAAGAAGGCAGTCTCAATGACAAGCCGTCCGAGAAGCCACCTTCTGTGTTCACGCGTCTTCCAACAACCGATAGCGGCAACTTGGAATATGTCGAGGAGCTGATGGCAGACTACCACGATGGTCTTCCAACACCCAGTGGCTCGGTGGAGCGTGTCCTTGAGCACGAGAAAGCTACCATGCCTCAGCGTGTGGCAGAGATCATGCCCATAAGGATAAGGAGAATCGGAATCTTGGGATGTTCCGCTTCGGCAAGTCATGGGCATCTAGCTTCCGCCCAGTTGCGCTGTGGAACAGGTTGTGGAATGACACGAAGGATGAACTTACGCGCCAGAACATGCTGGACGCCGAGAAGAAGGCGCGAATGAAGGCCGAAGCTGAAGCTAGATATGCACAATTGAAGAACGCGGGACAGCTTGGTTTACAGCCAGTCTCGGCTGCTGCAAGTCGTGATTTGCTCGCAACACCTTATGATTCGGCAGTTGCGCTCGACAATGGCACTGGAGAACATCGTCGGAACTTTCCAGCTGGCGCTCAGCTTCGACCTTCCAACGAGACCAGCCGTGATGGCAGCGAGGCGCCTGAGCCACCCAAGACGATTCGAGGTCGTCTGTCCCGTCTTCATCTTAGGAAGCCTTCGATGTCATCTCTGACAGGCACTGTTAAGCGCACGAAATCCGACCTCAATCTTGGAGGTGCCGCAGATCGCGAGTCTTCGTCCTCGGTCTCGCCCACCAAAGCCACTTTTGATGAAGGAGGCTCATTGCTAAGGAGATCTCACTCGAAGTATGACATGAAGAAGCAGAATCGCTTGTCAAAGCGCGTTAGCGATCTCGAGACGAAGCTAAACAAAGCTCGAGCTGAGCTTGATACAGCACTCGCAGAGGCCTCGCCGATGCCAAAGTTGGGAAACAAGTATGAGCGGTTCACACCGGTCGGCACGATTAAGAGATCGAAATTCGTTCCTGGTATGCTACCAACATTGCCTAGTGAGCGGCTGCTATTCCAGGATATGAAGTCGGAAGCGATCGGCCCCACGAATGCCAGTGAAGCAGCAAACGATCGACGACCTCGCAACGCAATTGATCTGGAGACAGCATTTGATGACATTGATGATGATGAGACTGTGAAGCGGCCTCGAAGCAAGACTTATCCCGCACTTGCGGAGAAGATCTTCCAAGAAAACAGTTCACAGGCAATCGAGAGCGAGCAGCACTCAGGCGAGCAGACCAATGTGGAAGAGGGAGAGGACGTCAGCGACGAATTTGCGCCAAACGTGACGGACGACATTCAGGACAATGACGGTCCTGAGCCAACCAACAAATCTACAAATGACGCCCTTGATGCCAAGCTCAAGGCTTTGGATGCATCAGTGAAGGCGAGCAAGAGGTCAGCCAGACTTAAGAAGCGGCCCTATCTCATCAAGGACGATAGCGGTACTTTCAGGCCTGGACGAAACGACGAGGCCGATGACGATGCAGAATGGGAGGAGGCCGAGAAGGCCGAGAAGAACACAAAGAAGAAGCGAAAGTCCACAGGCGAGGCGAAGAACAGCCCCCAAACCAAGCGAGCCAGCGCTTCTGGAAAGCAGAAATCACCACAGACCAAGCTCGTCAAGAAAGCAACTGCTACTACAGTGAAGAGCACGAAGAAAGCGACTGGAGGCAAAGCCAAAGAGAAAGCTTCCGCTTCCCAGATTATCGAAGATGTTGAGATGGACGACACGTTGCAGAGTGAGGATGAGCTGGCAAATACCAACGCTCGTAACAGCATTGATGCAGAGACCCAGTCACTGGACCCACTCTACGAAGAAGAGGAAGAGTTTACTACTCAGCAGCTCAAGGACGAGCCTTCAGAGCCGACGGCGACCGCTACGCCCGCTAAGTACGAGCGAAATGCTGTTCGCTCTCGCCCACGCAGTCCTCTCAAACGCGCCGAACGTGGAGCAGAAGAGAAGATGATGGTCCTTGCTGCAAAGGCCGTGGTGCAGTCGCGACCAAGTCGATCGGCGAGTCCGCCGCCCACAGCACATAGCAAGAAAGCGGAGGTCATTGAGGAGACAATTAGCATCATACCTGGTCAAGATGGCGTGCCCAATCTGCCAAAAGGTGTCAATAGCAGCCTCGAACAGGAGGTAGATGCCGTGGTCAAGAAGGGCGGGAAGAGAAAGAACGTGAGCCAGGAGAAGTTTGAGTGGCCCGACGATGTGTTCTAAACTCTAACATTCACATCGTCGGCTACCTTACTCTAGGCTCCCGGTACATATGAGTACAGCGTGTGGCACATGCATAGCCACTGAATTATGATGAAATGATGGATACGTTCATGATGTGGATGATGGGACACGAACGGTTTCAATGGTTTATTTGAGTTTATGGCATTGAATGGATGCATTTGGACTTCTCTATTGGCATGCTACAAGCGGCATCACGCGATGGAGTTCTTTTCGCATGGGCGTTGATTGTCTTGGCGAAGCATGGTCTCTTTTCTGCTCGGCAGCGAAGACGCAGGGACTCCGGTACTCTCTCAATGCAAAGTGTATTCGGACATGCTTCTCCCTTTCCAATGTCTGACTCGAACAGCCATGCCGGTCGTCCGTGCTTTGGAGTCACACGATTAATGAGAAAGCTGCCATTGACCAGCCTTTCCACAGCCTTGCAAAAGCATGATTCAGAAGAAATGAACTCCCCATTGCCGGACCTCGTCTGCCGGTGCACGGGAAGAAAAAGGAGGAGGAGGAGGAGCAGGAAAAGTACCTCCTCATCAAAGCAAGCTCGGTGATGATGAAGACATTTCACGCCATCCCATGCCTCGCAGGCTCGCACTACTTACTCGCAAAAGACAGTGACAAGACCAGGGCAAGAAAGATAAAGAACGATGCAAAATGATCGACGCCAGCCCCAAACCGGTCATTGTCGACCAGCATATTGACAAATTCTGTCCCCCATGATCCCAATCCCAATCCCCAGGGTGGGTGGGTCCAGGGTATTTTCCGTTTTTCCTTGGAATTTGACTTTTCTTTTTTGTTTTTGACATGGGCTGCGGCATGGCATGGCCCCATGTACGTATGTATCGTTCACCCTTAACTGTAAAAAAAATTTCCGGGTCCCGGAAACCTGGGTACTCAATCATCATCATCATCATCGTCAGATGAATTGATTCGTGTGATGATGAGATGAGATCGGAAGTTTGGGGGAGGGGAGGGGAGGGGAGGGGGGGATTGAATTTTGCGAAAGTCCGGACCGGGGCACGGGTGACGGGTAACGAGTCAAGACAAGAACTATTGTATGTGATACTGACTTTCAACGTACTGGAATGGAACTGCCGATGAATGAACGAATGAATGAATGAATGCTGCTGTGTGATTATTTCGCCTCTTGCCGATGCAACACTACATAGTTACTCTGGACCGGAAGGTTTTTTTTTTGAAGTTTCCTTCATCATCATCATCAAGGCTTGAAATCTTCATCTTCTTCCGGGGCATCGGGACCTCCGTCCGCGACTGTGTCTGATGAGATGAGACGAGACGTCAGCGAACCTTCCATGCGAACACTGGAACATTGCTTCTTATTATTATTACTCACCTGCTGTACTAAGGCCGCCATCTTCAGCAGTCCTAATAATCGAGAGGATGTATGAGCAAACGATCGACTCTCACATAACCTTTTACTTCTTCTTCCATCGATCAAACTCACCCTCCAACCCCATAATTCTCATTCCCAACATGTGCTTCACCCCCCGTCTTCTCCTGCTTCGAATCATCTGCTACATTTTGCGCACTAAAAAGTTGTAAAATTAGCATTGATTGCATTGTCGAGCGATGTGAGAACAACGAACGAACATACGTTTTGCTCCTGGTCTCCTTGGGAGCCGCTCTGTCTTCAACATCAGGCTGATATGCACCATCACTTGGTCGGTTTCCGCCATCGATATCTCCATCGGCAACAGTGTCAGCGGTAGACAAGCCACCATCTTTGGCTGTGCCGCCAACGTTGTAATTTGGGTTCTCAGTGGACATAATGATGATAATGGTAATTCCACTTCAAGGGTTGTTTTCAGTACAGGTACTGCAACAGACACGTGTGGCTCCCTTTTATTTATAAGTTATACATGCCAGCCTTGAGGGAGTAGCCACATGGCAGATGGGATCCTGCTGTGACGTAAATGGTTCAAGTGCTTGTAGGCACAAAACCGGTTCTTCTTCTAAAGGCTATGACGCTTTTCCTCACTTCAGAATTATTAGCGTCCTTCTCTCACGCTAGCATCGCGAACCTGCTTGAAGCTTCAGTTCGCGACTCATTCAGAGCGGAACAGAACTGGTATAATCCGCTCGAACGTCATCTAAAAGGTATTTGATACTGGAAGTTCGTATCTTCTGTAAGTTGCGACAGGTATCGTAAAGGTCGTAGAGTATACCGAATCAAAGCGTAGTCGGACAAAAGAATACAACAAATGCAACACAAACTAGGCTTAGATCGTTCGAAGAAAGCCTGGCGTGGCCTCGCCATAACATGATTCCCAAATTCCCAACACAAGAGAGGTATCAATGCTCCTTCCTGATCGTTCCAGGTAAAATCCGCTTCACCATTCGCCGACAGCGCCATGCTCTCATATTTCGTCCCTTATAGGTCCTGTCACCGCCCGCAAATTTTCATGTGCTGCAAGAAACAAAGGTCCGGTGTGACCCTTCTTTACTGGTCTCATCACTCAAAAGCGTACACGATCATGCATTCCCCGGGAGAGCTCGCATAATCTGTCTCCCATCGGCTCTACGGTATGCCATGCTGAGAGCGGTCGGGTCAAGTTCTCCGCCAGCGTTCTCATCGTCTTCGCCAGCAGTTATTGAAGAGCCAGGTCCCATGTGGCCATAATCGTTGCTCAAGTTTGGTCGAGCGCCTTGCCGTAATGGCTGGCTTTGGTGCCGGTCGCTGAAGACGTTACCATAACTCCGCTTGTGGCTGTCCGGAATGGGGACTTGGCTTGGGAAGTACGAGCTCTGGGGGGTAGACGAGATGGGAGAAGCAGCTTCGAGCTTAGTGCTGGAAGTCATTGCTGCCTGTAACGGTGGCAATTCCATGGTGGGCTTTAAGTTGATCGGGGTGGTTGCACCAGCGCTGCGACTGCTCGGAAGCACAGGCTCAAGTGGAGCGGGCCGTGTTGGGTACATTTCTACTGATGAGGAATAGCCATGGCTTGGTTGCGTAGGCGGAGGTGGTGGGGGAGGGATTTGTTGACATGTCTGCTGGTTGGAGGCAGTTTGGGAAGGATATGCAGGTTGTTGTAGAGACTGCTGCGCGTATCCGTTTGGAGGTGTAGTTATGTTGTGTTGCATCGAGTTGCGACGAAAGTCGTGCTGTGGCTGAGGTGAGTATTCAATGCTTTGCCGGTGTTGCTGGTGCATGGAGTCATAACTTGGTGGCGGAGGGGGTGCATTGAAGTGCGGCTGCGGTTGCTGGACTTGAGATCCTGGCTGCGGCGGGTACTGATAATAGTTTTGTTGATGCATTGGCGACGGCGCTTGAGGAGGCGGCGGTGGGTACTGTTGTGCAAATTGAGGGGGCGGAGGCATGGCTGGAGCCTGCACGAAGGGAGCCGGCGCATAAGGCTGGGTAGGAGATGGACCATACTGCGAGGATGTAGACATTGCGCTCTGAGGAGTGTGCGGCGCAGAGCTGTAGTGAGGCTGCTGGTATGCTTGGTTCATATCCTGGAGCGATGTCCTACGTGATAATGAGCCGCCAAGGGACTGGTGACTGGCATTGCTTGATGATCGCGGGCGCGCAATAGGATCCATGAAGGCATAAGGAGTATGCATGGAGGTGTAGCAAGAAGATTCCGGGGTGGAAGACATCCTCGCGCGTGCGTTTGCCGTCTCATCCTCATAGTTATCCCACTCCTTGCCATTGGCCTTGGTGTCACGTCTGCGCATGCGTACATCGCGTCTGATGCGAACACGACAACCTTGCTCAGCAACGACACGGCTGAGGTTTGTGCTTTCGGTGAGGCCGGGGAACTTCTTTGCGCTGTAGACCTGGAATGGCTCCGACTTCACTTCCAAGCGGTTGCTTACGTGGGCATCTCCAGTGGCGTTTGGCTGGACCTCTCCAGTCATCTTGTCCTCGTCCTTTGGGTTTTTGAGCTCTTCGAACAAGCTGAAGCTCAATCGGTACTTGCCCTCGTGCCTGACCGAGAGATCGGGGAAGATGAAATAACCCGCGGGACTGGGCCGATCCAAGTAAACCATTCCGGCAACAGGCGTGCCCGTCAGTACCGGAGGAGTGTTTCGCTCTTGGGAGACGCGTCCATGTGCCATGGGGCGTGCATGCTCCAGACTGGCGAACAGGAAGTAGTTAGCGTGCATGGTAAAGGTAATGTCCTGTTCCTTGTTTTCGCCTTCGTAGATCTTCAGCTCAACAATGGGCGGTGGATCTACAGGGCGACGGTCGGCAGATGCTACCGCACCAGGTCAGTCATAGTAATTGTGGGATTGGCTCGGGTGCTTACATTTGGCACCTTGACTACAGGCTCGAGCGCGCACCGGCTGCTGCAGCACGGTCATGTTGTAAGTAATGGTGCGACCATCGATGGTGAGGCGCGAGGTAGAGCTCTCAGTCTCATTGTCGACGGGGATGACGACGGAACGATCCATCCTGTCTACAGTTTGAGGTGGCGACACCGTCCGGACGGCGATAAGGTATGCGGGCTGGCAGAGGTTAGCAATGCGTGCTGCCCGAGCGACGGACAGTGAGGTGAGGTGGCGATGGAGAGGAGTGGTTCGGAGTGGGTGCAGTGAAGATGGAAACGAAGCATTCGAGTCCGCTGTAGTGGTGATTGGGCAATGCGGGTTCCAAACAGTCGGCGCTGGATTGGGCTGCGGTAGCGCGAGTAAGCAAGGGGACTCACGAAGGGAGAGGCCTGCGCGCCAGCAGGAGATTGCCGTCGACGTCGGACGTCGAGCGCGGCAACAGCGAGCGGTCGCACCTGCTGCGTTGGAGCAGGAGCAGCAGCAGCAGCAGCAGGAGCAGTGGCAGGGCAGGGCAGGAGCGCTGGGCGGGCAGCGGGTGGTGGTAGGAGTGAGTCAAACGAGGTGCAGCCGACCAGATTTCCAGCGGTCCCGGCGAAGGTGAGGCGATGAAAGCGCGCGTTCGCTGTCCAGAGGAGAGTCAGGCGGTATCTGTATTGTCGGAACGTCGAGGGCGCGGGCGCGGGCGCGGGCGGGCGCAATTGACTCTGTGCTCCACGAGCTCACACGTCTGTCTCTCTGGCGCTGGCGCTCTCCGACACGCTGGCTGAAGCAGAGTGCACGGCGAAGAGAGAGAGGATGATCCTGAGAGGGCAAAAGAGTAGGCACGGCGGCAGGTCATAATTGGCTGCGACGTGCACGGCGCAAGGATCAGCCTAGTAGTGCATTTGGAGTTGGACCGCTTCAAGGTTGTCGATTGAGCTCGCTTAGCCTGGCCTTCTTCATCCCCACTTGGCACTTGCATTGTCTTGGCGCGATGAAAGTCGGCCAGGTAGCAAGCACGCACGACTGCATCGCGCGAAGCCTGAATCTGATGGCGAGGGCTGCATCCAGTCGCCGCCATCGCCGAACTCTGCGCGCGCGACGCCTGCGAACTCACTCCCACTGGTACGTACTGTCCTGGCGGCTGTGATCTCCGCCGCTAGAACTACCGCCACCGCAGCTCGCCAGCGCCAACGGCGTCGCACGGCACGGCACGGCACGCATCGTCGCGTCGCTCCAAAGCCACATGTTCGCACCAGAGCGACTGCACGGCTGAACGTGGACGGGCGCAGAGCAGCGCAGCGCCGACACGCCCAATTAATGGGCACAAACGGTGACGTCGAGCAGGCAAGGCAGCGTCTGCCCCGTCTGCCAGGCCAGGCCAGGCCCACTGCACGTCTGCAATTAGCTGGAAGCCCGCGATGAAACGACTCCTGCGCGCCGCCATGCATGACAGCCATCCCGTCTGCACATATTGCATGTTCCATGCCTGCTACATCCAAGACTCCAAGACGCGACTGGCGAGCCTGGAGAAGGCGCCGGGCAGCTGGGTCCAGGGACCACCCACCACACGCACACACACACACACACACACACACACACACACACACAGGACCCACACACACACACACACACACGCAGTCTCTCACTGCGGATGCTGATGCTTCTCGGAAGTGTACTGTAGAAGTGTACTGTAGATGCTAGCAGTGCTGCGTGGACGACTCGGAGGACTCGGCAGTAGTAGCAGTCCCGTAGTAGGCCAGCCTCTTCAACAATAATGAGCTTCGTCCATCCCGAACCACATTATGTGCATACAGTACAGTACGGCGCAAGGCACTCCCGGAACACCCACCCAGCTCAGAGGTCAGCGCGGCATTTACCCTTGGGTTTGGCTACAGCTCCGTTGCCCTCGGAGAATATTGACTTTCCACCCCCTGCTCCACTCTCCACTCTGGCCCGTGAAAGTCGTGGCTCTGTGCATCAGCTGCCAAGCAGCCAAGCAGTCTTAAGCGACCCATGCACCGAGTACTGTACACGTGCGAGTGATATCCTTCCTGTGATGAAAACAGTGGTCGCGGAACGCCTTGTGAGCCACAGTGCTCAACTGTCTCACGCACAGTCGGACTGTCAAAAAGCGAACCGTCCTCCGCTGTCCACACTGGACTGGTACCACGACACAACAAGCAGCAGCAGACAACCCGAACGCAGCTACCCTGCCACAACCCTTCTAGATACTCACACCCCTGCCTCTGCCTCTGCCTCTGCCTCTCCACCATCTCCTTCTCATCTCTCCAAGTCCAATCTATATATGTACAAAAGCTTGAGGCATGTCGTCCGAAAACGTCCATGCAGACGAGAGCTCATCTAGACAACGTGGTGTCTCCATCCGTGTGAATCCATGCTGTACCTCACAAACGCGTCCGCTGGCTTGACGCCTTCATTCACCCCCATCCATGCTTCAAAAGGAGCCTGTAGCAGTAGCCGCGTGCAACCACATTCAGCGGCAACAAGCCCGCCATCCACACTCCAGGCTCCACCCGTAGTAGCAGAGCATCCACTTGCCTTGGACTTGGACCTGTCAAAACACTCATCGTAACCATGCTGGGAACCGACGATCCACATGTACAAGCACGACCAGCAGCTCAGTTGCAACGCTGCCTTGTCCTCCACCACCATAACTGCACGACGACCAAGCAAAAACTTCACCTCCAACCACGCCATAAGCTCCAGTCCCTCTCACCTACCTTGCCACCACTCGTCATTCCTCGTTAGCCACAAGTTTCAAAGTACGTACGTAGCAGCACGCGTTCGACAGTGATCCGGAAACGGGACACACCTCCAAGTCTCCGTCTGGCTGGGTCACCCGAGTGCGGCTGCGCTAAAACGGCAGACGACGACATTCGTCAAGAAAGACAGAGAGCTGTGAGACTGTGAGATTGTGTGTGTGTGTGTGTGTGGCGGAAAGCGGGAAGAAAGTCCAGGCAGGGATGTGCCGGCTTGTTTTCTGCTGCCTGCTGCAGTAGTTGCAGTCGCACAGCAGCGATGGTTTGGGGTTGCGTTGTTGTTGCGTTGCGCCACCGGACAAGGATGGATTCCTTAGTTATTGCGCGCCTGGACTGGTAGACTGGACTAGGAAAGAAAAGAAAAGAAACCTTAAGAAAGAAAAAAAACTATATCCTCTGTTAAGAACCGAGTTGTAGCGCTGTACTAAGTTTAATTATATAGGGGTTATAACATAGTATCTAGGTCTATAATAAGGCATTTAGAGGCTCTTATCCGACTAGATAATAGCCTATTAGCCTCGCGCACAGTTACGTTATTTGCCTTCTATATCCGGCTTCCTATATCGGCTACGGCCCTATTTATATACCTATTAGGACTATATACACCTTATTTAGTCTATTATAAAAGTAGGGATATAAAATAAGATAGTAGAAGCGTAAATTTAGAGAAAAGGAGGCAAAGGATATATAAGCTAGTAAGAGAAGGCTATTTAGAAGGAAGGTGCAAGAAGGGTTATATTAGCAGGTAGATAGGATAGTAGTAGGTATAGGTAGTATTCGATAAGGAGCTAGGAGGAGAGGGAGGAAGGCGGGCAAGTTAGCCTATTACTAAGCGCTAAGCCCTGCCTAAGGCACTAAGACCCTAGCTTCACTCGGCCTAATTATATACCAATTACGTATAGCCTCTTTAGCCCTAATAGAAGGATACTATATATAATATATAGTAGTATAGCTATACTATATCGTAATTTAACTACTTCTATATACTAATAAAATACTTTCTCTACTTCGATAGTCTACTTACTAGTCTCCTATACTATAATATATATAGCTTCTATACGCCTTAATCTACTCCTTTTATAACTATAGGCTATAAAATAGCCTATAGTTAACTATAATAGTTACTAGCTAGAGTTAGTACTTCTTAGTAAGCTAACTACTTCTACTCGTCGACCTTATTAATCCTTAGGAATTAGAATATAACCGAAACCTTAATAGAGGGTATAATATAGAAGCGTTATTTTTAATTCTATAAGAAGGGTATATTAGTAGGTAGATAGGGTAGAGGTAGGTACGAGTAGTATTCGATAAGGATCTAGGAGGAGAGGGAGGAAGGTAGGAGAGTTAGCCTAACGCTAAGCGCTAAGCCCTACCTAAGGCATTAAGACCCTAGCTTCACTCGGCCTAGTTATATACTAATTACGTATAGCCTCTTTAGCCCTAATATACGCTTCCCTTCTAAAGGCCGCGCCCTCGTAGCCTACCTATATTCTAATCTCGACCTCTATTGCTACTAACTTAGCAAATCTAATAAGCTGCTTAGCCCGCGCTAAATTAAATACTTAACTACCTAATTATATAACTATATCAAACCTTACCTTCTAATATAATGTCTAATTCCGACTGCGCTATCCTTATATATAATAAACTATAGAGTAATATATATCTATAAGATTTAAGGGCCTTCGACTAATTATAATACGAGCGCGTCTTCCCTACTATAATAGGTAGACGTACGAGGTATTATAGCCCTACCTCCGCTCTAAGTAATATCGTTCCGAGTTCTTTACGTCTACTCTAAAAGACCTAGAAATGTCCGCTTCCGAGGGTTGTTCGTTCCGAGGGATTGTTCTTATTATTATAAGGACTATTATTTACTATCGTAGTTTTACTAGCCCTAATTAGTTAGGTTTAGTAGCCTTTAAGTATTAACTAATTATATCTTTTCAAAAAACTTAGTTCTTCTAGTTTCTATAGGTAAAGGCTATTATAAGTATAGTAGTAGAGGTTCGCCTCGCTTAAAGGGTCGGAAAGATCGAGAAGTAATCTATTATCCGCAAGATCGACCCCGGCTAATATAGGCGAGAGGTAGCAGATACGTAATTAGATTGTCGAACTGTCTATAAAGGAAGAAGGAAGCGTAAAAGCACGCCGACTAAGTACAAAGATAGATACCTAAGGCAACGATAGTAAGCCTATAATACATCCCCTCGTCTAAACTGTATCTTGCTCCTATAAGACCGTATACTAATGCCTATTATCTATACTAATGTTTATGCTAATATCTATTATCTATATCTATTATCTAGAGCGATTAGCAAGGTCGGTGTATGCGGCGATATTACTAGGGGCCGTAATCGCATCGAGTAGAAAGCTAACCGGCGGTAGTAACTACTTAAGGAGGTTAATAATGCGGTGCGCAAGCCCTAGCGCGAAAGCATCGGCTAGGTAGTTAATTAAACGATAAGGACGCAAAAGCATCGGCCTATTGTTTGTTAGTACCGAATAAGGCGCGAAAGTATCGGCTTATCCCTATTACGTATAAAGTAGAGCTGCTCGAGAAAGGCTACCCGTTGTATCTAGAACGGTGTACTCTTACCTACGCGGCAATATCTAGCGGTCGATAAGGCCGGTAGTACCCTCTTTAGGTATCTATCCCTCTAGTAGTTTGTACCTAGTAGGCTTTAGCTTACTAGGGTTCCTATAGTAGAAGTCTGCGATAGTATCGGCAGCTTGCTTAATTAACTCTTCCTCGTTAAATTCCTATAACTCGTCGTCTCCTTTCTATTGTACTATATACTTCAATTTCTTCTATCTGCCTTTGCGATAGCTATCTACTACTTCTTCTATTTCCTAGAACTTATTACCGTCGATTAGCTTAGGCGGAGGTGTCTTATCGGTTAGATTAGCGGAGGCGGGTCGGAGGAGGTTAGTATAGAAGACGTCGTAGATGCGGCAGCGCTAAGAAGAGGTACCGAGATTAAGCTAATAGACGTTAGTAGTATTAGGAATCGCGCGGATAACCTTAAAGGGGCTAAGCTGTTTATAATCTAGTTTCTTCGATAGTCTCTTCGTACGGATATTGCGGGCATCGAGCTAGACTAGGTTACTAGGCTAATATAGTCGAGGCGGAGCGCCTTTGTCGTATTTCGTATAGCGCGCTTATACGTAGGTTATAGAGTCGATGCAGTATTGTTATATACGTTTAAGTTCCGAAGCAAACAATTTAGCTTCTTATAGTACGACGCGCTCGCGTACTAGAAGCTTCTTCTTAGCAGCATCGGACCTACTTTTATATATAACCTCTAGGCGTAGATTTCTGCTAAGAGTTGCGTAGAAGGGTAAGACTCTAGTAGTTTCGCTCTTCGCGTTGTTAGCGGCGAACTCTACGGACTATAGCTACCGGACCTAATTATCTTAGACGTAATTAACGTAGGCTCGGAGGTAGACTTCTAGTTCTTAGTTAGTTCGCTCGGACTAGCCGTCGGTCCGTAGATAGTATACTATTAAGAAGTGCTATTTAATACCGAGGAGACGTTATACTTCGCGATAGAACGTATCGACGAATTAAGACCCCCTATTAGAGGTAGCGCTATCGAAGACACCCTAATCCTTAATTACCTAGCGGTATACTACCTTAGCGGCTGTTTGTAGTTCTAGGTCGGGTATAGGAATGAAATGTTTGCGCTTCGTAAGGCGGTCTATAACAGTAAGGATATGCTTATATTTAATACTAAGCTAATCGCTTTCGGGGAGCTCGACAATATAGTCTATAGCAATGTCGCGGTAGGCGCTAGACGGCACCGGGAGTTGCTAGAGCAGGCCTTAGTAGGCCTCGTAACTTACTCGTATACGAACGTAGGTTCGGCATTCCTTAACCTGTCTACGGACATCGTTATATATCGTAGGCTAGTAGTAGTATCGTTAGAGGAGGTTGAAAGTCCGCTCTCTTCCTAGGTGCCCCGCTAGCGGTACATCGTAGTAGTGTTTAATTACCTTCCGGCGTAGATTAGCGTCGTCTAGTATATAGGTACGACCGTCTACTCGAACTAGGCCGTCTATAATACTATAGCTAGTTAGCGAGAGCTTAATATTGCCGATCTCGGTAGGAAATGTAAAGCGCTAGACTTTATCGCGAAGGCCGCATTTAATAACGTTAGTAAGACTATCCTCGTAGAGGGCCCTTTCGATAGAGTCGTCTAAGGACTCGTCTTCTCTAAGGATCCGAATAGCTACGAGCCTTTAAGCTCGAGCTTATAGCTCTAGTAATAGGTTGTAAGCCTTAAGAAGGGCCTAGTAACGGTTGTTCTCGTCTTCCGTAGGATCTATGTCTTAAGTACGCCTAGTAAGGGCATTTGGCTTAGCGCCTTACTTGCCCGGTCGATACTATATAACAAAGTTAAACTCGGATAGGAACTCTGCCTATCTAGCTTAGCGGCGATTAAGCTGCTTTATAGTTATAAAGTACTCTAAGCTCTTATAGTCGGTAATAACCTTTATCGCCTCGAGAGGGCAGATTAGCTTAGGCCTCTATTCCTTAAACGCCTTAACTATAGCTATTAGTTCCTTATCGTAGATCTCGTAGTTGTATTCGGCCGGGTCTATCTTCTTCGAGTAGAAAGCTACGGGGTAAAGGATATTGCCGTAATACTAAGACAGAATGCTAGCACTAACTCGGTCCGAGGAGTCGGTCTCGACGATATATAGTTTATTAGGGTCGTAGTAGGCTAAGACAGGTGCGGTCGTAAAGGCCTGCTTAAGGGTTTCGAAGGCTTCCTAGTAGGCCGTTGTCTACTCGAATAGTTTCGACACCCTTTAGCCTTAGTCGTTCTTCTAGCCGCGAGAAAGAGACGTTAAAGGTAGAGCGATCTTAGAGTAGTCTTTAATAAACCTCCGGTAGAAATTAGCTAACCTAAGGAAGGCCTATATATTTCGAAGACACTTCGGAGTCTGCTAGCCTAGTATAGCATTAACCTTGTCTTTTGTTATACGGAGGCCTTCTATAGTAATCGTAATGCTAAGATAGTATACTTCCTTAACGAAGAACTTATACTTGTCAATATTAAGTAGTAAGTCCGTATCCCGAAGGCGCGTAAGTAGCTTGCGTAGGTGTTCGATATACTCTTATTTATTATCGCTATAAATAATAAGGTTATCGATCTACGAGGATACGAACTAGTCTATATAGTCGCTAAGGGTTTTGTTAATATAGGACTAGAAAGCACTCGGGGCGTTTAAAAGGCCGAATAGTACAACTAGGTATTCGAAGGTGCTATACCTAGTCGTAAAGGCAGTTTTCTATTCGTCGCCTTCTTTAATCCTTAATCTGTTAAAGGCGGCGACAATGTCT